AACTGCCCTTTTTAATTTCAATGCCAATCTTGAGTTTTAACCTTTTCCCCCTATGGTAAAAGGGCTTGTTCGCGAACAACACTATTTGAATGGTTAAGCGTTTTTTTATTATTGGTAGTTGGTAATGTTGTTGAAAGGTTCGATTTGAGCCTATTTCTAAAAATGGCTAATTCAATATTTTAGCCCGAAAAATATTAATATTGCCTAAGCCTCAAAATTTCACTAATAGATGTCTAAATTATTTTGCCATCTATGAGCAAAATTTTTACATTTTTGGAAAAAAGCATTTATATATAAAAAAAGTGAACCAAAAATGCTTTTTAAGAAATGCATATAAGCTAAAGATAAGTCTTAAGACGTGAATGTATTATAATTATTAATAAAATATCCATAAAATTACTAAATAATCAATAATAAGTGAGTAATTTTAACTTATTTATCTTAATAAAAGTAAAATTTAATTATAAAATTATTGATAAAATTTAATCATAAATTAAATAAAAAAATTAAAGCACAATACAAACAATGGAATATTATATGTCGTAGATTTGCAGATATCTAATTTTATCCATTATAATATGACAATTCGCCATATTTTTACCAATATGGCGAATTATATATTTTACAGAAAACTATAAAATATTGATAAGGACATCAGAAAATATTTTTTAAAGTCATTGTAGGATGAATAATATAAAGATTAATTTTTAATATCATTTTTTTATTTAAAATAAATAGATGGCGTTAAATAATTGAATGCAAATTGTTGCAATATTTATTATCAAGAGCATAGTTTAGTAAAATTTGTTAAAATATTAACTGTAATATATTCCCTAATTGTCAAATATGTCTGTAAAAGTGGAATCTTACCTAGTATTTTGTAACTAATTCTATATAATAGAGGAATATCAACTATATGTCTACTTACTTTTTATAAATAAATTTCTTATACTTGTTTGGAATAAATTATTACCATGCTTTTATATTAATGTATATACAAGTAATTTATTATATTTTATATAAACTAATAAAAATATATTTCATATTTAAACAATCAGTTAATTTTTTACATCATTAAATTTGTCATTTAATAAAAGACTTTATTCACATTCTAAAATATTATTATCACACTACCGACGACAACAGACTACTAGCGAGTCCATTATCAGGGCAAGATTTTCCCCGCTTGTTAACTAACATGAGACTATAATATTAGATTTTAGAATTATTATAAGTTATTAAATAATTGATCACTTATGACAAATAAAAAGAAACATAAATTATGGAGAAGATGTGTAAAAAGGTACTATAATTGAAAATAGTCGGTGAATATGATTAGAGACTAAGATGAATATACAATTATTGTTAGAAAATATGTTGATGTTGTAATTAAATTTTTATTAAAGATTTACGTTTAACTTTTATTTTAAGGGCTGCAAGAGATAAAACAATCTCAATTGGTCTAATATGTGAATAAGATACGTTTAAGTTGATGATATTTAGTTTACTAATTAAAACTACATATTACTTTATTATCTTGTTGTATGAAAAATATCAATAGTGTCAATCATCATAAAAAGGCATTTATAACATTAATAATAAACTAGTAGAAAGCCCTTCAAAAATGACGGGGAATGAGATTTTTATATTTTTTTACGATAGATGTCATGCCAGATCCAAGCTCACAATATTAGGAAGCATATAATTATTAAAAAGTTTATCCAGCCTAGCTCAACCCTTAATAATTTGTTAAAGATATTCCCATGTCAGGTGCAAGCTAACATAAATTTTGAGGTTCCAAGCCCAGTCGTATCAATATAATTTTGAAAACTTTTTCCCACCTCGGAGATAGGTAAATTTTTAATTGATTTATCATCACATGAAGGGGAATTATCTGATTTACCAATTAGTTTAAGATGTAAAAAAAAACATGTGAATTCCGTATTAAGGGAAACTGGGAAGGCCTGGGCAAACCACTTATTAGAGAATCATGACAAATAAAATAAAAATAACCAACTCTTATACTTTTTGGTAATATGATCAATTATAATAATATATAAAAAATAAATTGTTGTTTATTATATAGGGTTATTGTAGCTTTTCGGATAAATTTAATGTTTATCTTGCATTTCACAAATTATTTGTCTATATTTAAGGTTAAGTAAAAAAAATGCTCTCTATTTAAATAACAAAAATGACATTAAACACTAATGAAACTTATATGCAAATTATAAAATATTTTTTATTGACATAAATTTAGGCCAATTTTTTTAAAAAATAATGAGGAATAATTATTATGTTGTGTATTTAATAAAATTAAGAACAAATCCTTGTTGAGATTTTTATTTTTGATGGAAAAAGCCACAAAATAAATCTGGAAGGTTGTCTGGAAAGGAAATAATTAATGAACAATTTCATATCATTTAGGGTTGTAGATGAAAGTAATGACGGATTAACAAAACAGTGTACAAAACACAATACGTCCTGATTAAGATGAGTCATATGCCTATGCCTTGGGATGCTGGTAAAAGAAGAACGCAAAATGTTATTTCTGTCAATGTCAGCATTGGTAGCCCCCTCTAAAATAGAATCATGAACGACAATGTTAACTCAACTATAAAAAGGTAGTAAGAATTGTTATAAAGGCCATGACAGAACTACTGCATATTTTTCCATTAATAAAGTTGATGAAAATGGCCGTATTGCACATTCAAGTTTGAACATTCCTCTAAATCATGAAAGTTTCTCAGAGAATCGGATAAAGTAATATTTATAATAACTCCTAGTGAAGTGAATGATATTACGGAATTGAATGCTTATATTTGTTGAGGTGGCATAGGGATTGTGGTAGTGGTGATAGAAATATCATTTGGAGGCAACTGGGTGAAAATAAAATAAACATATAAATATAAAACATAAGATAAAAAAAATAAATAAACCTCCAGAGGAGTTAATTTCAAGCATAGTTTTTTTATTATTTTGGCTACCAGTAACTCTAGAACGGGCAAGGCGTTTGTTCATTCGTCATTATTTTCTTTGCTTATCTTTAATAGATTCATCATATTTTGTAGCAATGTGAGGGATTAAGGATGGATTAGCCTAGACAAATAAAGAAATGAGGCAAAAATTTAAATAAACATTATTATTGAAATAAAACGAACATTAAAATTCTGTAAACCAGTAGATGGGCCAATATTAGATGCTTATATCTAGTAGTTGGTGGGATATCATCAAAAATATTGGGGGGGGGGCAGAGATATTAAATTTATAATTAATGAAGGGGAAATCTCTGATTTACCAATTAGTCTACGGGTAAAATATAATACTTTATAAAAATATTAAAATAAGACTAACATTTAACATTAAAAAATCCCAATATAGGTTCAAGCCTACAATATTTGGAAAAAATTTCCAAGCATCCAAGATCTTAATAATTTAAAAAGATTTTCTCAAGCCCGTTTCAATCCCTAATGTTTGAAAACCAAGCCAATATTAATTGTGAGAAATATTTTTTAAGCCCAGTCCAACCCATAATAATTTTGAAAAAATTTTCCCAAGCCAAGATATTAAATTTATTATATTAACTCAGTTATGAATTTCTATATAAAATATTAATAATTTGTAATATTTAGTAAATAATGTATTACTTTGACAATTGGTTTTAATATGTCCTCCTACAGTTGCACTAATTTTGAAAAATATCATGTGAATTGATAATAAGGGAAACTGAGAAAGCCTGAAAAAAGCATTTATTAGAAAATCATGACAAAATAAGGTCTGCCCTAATATTATTTATGTTTTTTTTTACATTTTAAACTAATGGGTAAATCAGATATTTACCCTTCATGTGATGATAAATCAATTAAAATTTAACTATCTCCTAGGTGGGAAAAAATTTTCAAAATTATATAGAATACGACTTGGCATGGAACCTCAAAATTAATATTAGCTTGCACCTGACATGGGAATATCTTTTACAATTATTAAGGGTTGAGCTGGGCTTGATAAACCTTTTTATAATTATATGCTTCCTAATATTGTGAGCTTGGACCTGGCATGACACTATCGTAAAAAATGAATAAAAATCTCATTCCCCGTCATTTTTAATGGGCTTTCTTAATAATTTGTAATATTTAGTAAATAATGTATTACTTTCCTATGTATAAACATTGGTATAAAAGAGAATCATGACAAAATAAGGTCTGCCCTAATATTATTTATGTTTTTTTTTACATTTTAAACTAATTGGTAAATCAGATATTTAACCTTCATGTGATGATAAATCAATTAAAAATTTATCTATCTCCGAGGTGGGAAAAAATTTTGAAAATTATATTGGATACGACTGGGCTTGGAACCTCAAAATTTATATTAGCTTGCACCTGACATGGGAATATCTATTACAAATTATTAGGGTTGAGCTGGGCTGGATAAACTTTTTAATAATTATATGCTTCCTAATATTGTGAGCTTGGACCTGGCATGACACTATCGTAAAAAATGAATAAAAATCTCATTCCCCGTCATTTTTGATGGGCTTTCTTAATAATTTGTAATATTTAGTAAATAATGTATTACTTTCCTATGTATAAACATTGGTATAAAAGAGAATCATGACAAAATAAGGTCTGCCCTAATTTTAATTATGTTTTTTTTTACATTTTAAACTAATTGGTAAATCAAAATATTTACCCTTCATGTGATGATAAATCAATTAAAAATTTAAATATCTCCGAGGTAAGAAAAAATTTTCAAAATTATATTGGATACGACTGGGCTTGGTACCTCAAAATTAATATTAGCTTGCACCTGACATGGGGATATCTTTTACAAATTATTAAGGGTTGAGCTGGGCTTGATAAACTTTTTTATAATTATATGCTTCCTAATATTGTGAGCTTGGACCTGGCATGACACTATCGTAAAAAATGAATAAAAATCTCATTCCCCATCATTGGGCTTTCTTAATAATTTGTGATATTTAATAAATAATGTATTACTTTCCTATGTATAAACATTGGTATAAACTCAAGACTTGATCAATGGACATGGGGACATCTTTTACAAATTATTAAGGGTAGCTGGGCTTGATAAACTTTTTTATAATTATATGCTTCCTAATATTGTGCCTCCTACAATTGCATTAATTTTGAAAAAAATTTCCCAAGCCTAGAGATAAAATATTAATAATTTGTAATATTTAGTAAATAATGTATTACTTTTTGGTTTTAATATGTCCTCCCATAGTTGCTGATAAACACAAGGAAGGCAGGTATTAAAAAAGTAGAAAAAGTTTAATTTATTTTATTAATTTTATTATTTCAATTTTATAAAAATTACAACTGATAAACTTACAATTTTTACAGCTATTATAATTTAAAAGGTCTTTAAAAAAAGAAAAGATTGTTACAAAAGGTAAAAGTAAAACTATTCAAATTACAGGTTATTAAAAATAAAGAAATGTTTTTTTTACAAAAAGTCATAAGTTACAAAGTAAAAAGTATTCAAATTATATATTAACAACATTTCCCCCTTTTTTTTATGTCTTCTTTCCTTAGTTTCTTATCTTCACTTCCAGTCATTCGTTTCTCAATTGCTACATTAATCATTTGTTCGTATATCTTTAGATTGTTTGTTTGACCAGTTGAATCGATTATCGAACATCATGAAACATCGTTGGTTGTACATCATTGTTAGTTGAACATTGCTTGTTGATTTGCTGTTTGTATTGATCATCCCATTTCTCTTTCAAAATTTTATATAAATATTTTTTACAAAATTTTATTTATTTATAACAATCATTTTCTATGTCGTAGGTCATATTCTCGCTTTTGAACTTGACTTTGAATTTTAGAATTTTGAACTTGAACTTGTTTGATATTTTGTTCGTTGTTTAGCCTGAGTCATATCTTTTTCATAGATTTGTTCTTATCCTGTTATCATTATCATCTAATCATTCGCTTGAACATCATCTTCATGATCAATACATCTCAAATAAAATAATTTTGGAATAATGATAATGGAATAAATAATTTATCAGAATCAATCATAAGAATCATGGAATATAGAATAATAGAATATTTGGAATTGTTTCATTTTATATTATAATTTTTTTATTTATTATTTAATTATTTTTATTTTTAAATTTTACTCCTTTATTTTTCAATTTAAACACTTTTTTTATATCATAATTTCTCTTTAACTTGTTCTTTATACCAAAATTTCTCTTTCTCCTTCCATTTTCAACATACGATCTCCATATCGTACTCCTAATCTCTCTTTCAACATCACGATATTTAATCATCTTTGTTTTAATTTTCTTTTCCAAAGTTTTTTTTAAATTTTTTATTAATTATAAAATTTTTTATTTTATTATTTTCTTCAATTTTTATTTCATTATTGTTTTTAATAACTATAATTTCTTCAATTGTTATCAAATGATTTATTTCTTCTAATTTATAAGAATTTATTTCTTTTTTAACATTTAATTTACACAATTCAATTTTATTCAAGTTTTTATTATTATGATATTTATAATTTTCATGCTTTTTATTGTAATATGTACCTTCATAATTTTTATTATCTACTTCTCTATTTTCCTCGATTATATTTACAATTTTATTAAGTATGTTCCCAAAAACTTTTATCCATGTCCTTCCCAGAATTGCAATATTGTCATTTTGGACTACATACGCATCTAAATTTTGAGTTTTGTCTTCATATCTCACTTTTATTTTAACCATTCCTAGCACCTCTATTCTTCTCCCATCATAGCCAGTCAGTTTCGTATCCGATTTATTCAAGACTTTGATTCCTATCTTTCTAGCAATATTAATCGGCAATATAGAAAATCGTGACCCGGTATTTATCTGCATGTCTACCGGTATATCGTTAAGGTATATCGTAACTTTGTAATCATCATTTGCCTTGTCATCATCATCCATTCTATTTACGTCAAATCTGTTCTTGTATGACTGATTATTGTTCTGATTATTATTGTATCTAGGTATGTATCTCGATTCGTTCTGATGTCTATAATATCTTTAATTATTTTCATTATATTTGCAATTATCATTATTATTATATCTATAGTTATCGTAGTTATAATTATTTTTATTGTTAAATCTTGTAAAATTATTATACGGTCCTGATCCATTATACCCCCTATCATTATCATAAACTCTAGGATTATAATTGTTTCTACATCTTGGTTCATAATTATTTGTATGTCTCGAATCTTCATAATTATCGTATCTCGGTTTCCACTGATATCTATGTACGTGCGACTTCATCCCTTTATCGTGCTCATCGTATTTCATCATCCTTAAATTTTTTACTAAATAATCATCTAATTAATCTATTAATTTTGTTTTATCAATATTGTCTTATTTAAAATATTTCAACATTAAAATTTTATTATATTTTTATTCAATTTTATATTTTAATCATCTCTTACGTTTTTTTAGAATAATATTAAAATCATTTTCCATAATCCTCTCTTGTCTAGCTTCACCATATTTCAGTATAATTTGTAGCGTCTTCGCTGCCACCATGATAAACACAAGGAAGGCAGGTATTAAAAAAGTAGAAAAAGTTTAATTTATTATATTAATTTTATTATTTCAATTTTATAAAAATTACAACTGATAAACTTACAATTTTTACAGCTATATATACACATTAATATTTACATGTTAACATTAATATAATTTAAAAGGTCTTTAAAAAAAGAAAAGATTTTTACAAAAGGTAAAAGTAAAACTATTCAAATTACAGGTTATCAAAAATAAAGAAATTTTTTTTACAAAAAGTCATAAGTTACAAAGTAAAAAGTATTCAAATTATATATTAACAACAGTTGCATAGAAAATTTAAGTTATAGGATCATCTGTTTGTATAAAATAAATAAATAAAATCATCAATAGTAAATAATGTATTACTTTTTGGTTTTAATATGGCCTACTACAGTTGCATAGAAAATTTAAGTTATAGGATCATCTGTTTGTATAAAATAAATAAATAAATTAAACAAATAAAAAAAATAAATAAATACGTACCGATGACATGACAGCGATGACATGACGTCACGATGACGTAGTGTGGACATCGGAAAATTATAATATAGATTATATCACATTTATAACATTACCACACACTTAAGATTTTATAACTCCTCAATCAGACGATTTGTAGGCTTCCTAGATCGTTGTGATTTCCGCTTTCTAATTCTCCGTTATCTCTTTCTCTATAGGTGATCCTTAAATTTTCCAAATTCTCAACTAATTCCGACTCCATATTTTTTTCATTGTCTTCCTCTCTCCCTGACCTATCCATTTCTTTCGCTGCATCCCGTTTTCGTAGTTGATCCGTATGCTTTCATATCGTTCTATCCTTATTTTCTACTAAATAGGAATATATACCAGTTTTTGTTTATAATTCCTTCTCTCCAGTCTGAATTGATTTTATTATGAACCCATACAGGTTGTGAAGTATCAAATTCCCTCATTTGAATGTGTTCATCGTGCGCTGTCTTTTATCGTACATTAGATCGTTCAATCTCATCCCTAACATTTGGAATCTAATCCAGTTTTTAGATTGCGCCCCAAAAATAATCTTGCCATGAACGTCCAGTTAATTGGTGCTCATCCACTCTGTATGCTGTCAAAACTTCTTCCATAGCTTCCTCTGGCTAATATCTTTTCTAGTGGCAAAATACCGACTCTTAAGTGTTCGTATTGTTCTTTCAGCTAACCCATTCGTTTTGAGAATGTATGATGTTGAATATTTTAATTTATTATTTTTCTCTAAATATAATTTTCAAAATTCTCCAGAACTGAGGGCCGTTATTTGACAAAATTTGTCTTGGCGTTTCAAAATGTGAGAACCATTTTCTTATCACCCTGATTATTCTCGACCTCAACCCATTTAGAATGTGCATTAACTCCAACTAACCATAAATACGAATATGTGTTCCCATGTCATATTAGAGATGTTCTACTAATATAGAGGAACCTGCATTATATATGACCGGTTACTTTGACATGACATACATTGACGAACAGGTTGTTCAATGTTTTTATCGCAATTAGGCCACCAACATATCATTCTAAAAATTGATTTCATAGCATATATTCCTGGATGCCCTCTGTGTAATAGTTAGTATTGATTTTCTCAACGCGGTTGGAAATACCAACTTTCCATTCAATGACATCACAATCTATTGACAATTCCTCCCGACGATTATTAAAATAAAACTAATTCTGCATCAAACCCCACCCATCCTCGCTTAATGTTTTTTATTACTAATGGACTAGCGGAAAAGGTATAGAAAGAATTAGGGACGATTGTATTGAATAAATACGGAAGATTGAAAGGTTAAGAATATAGCATCAATTGTGAAATATGGAATCCGCGAGGATTAAGAATATCTCAATTTTAAATAATTTATTTAGAGCAAATCTAATTTTACAATATGCAGTATATATAAATAAAGTTCTTTATTTTATAAAGAGATAAATAAAAAGGTTTTTAGTTCATCATAATCATCTTGGTATATATACAAAATTAACATCAATTTAATATTAAATAAAAATCAATGTATATAACGTTTCAAACATCAATTTAATATTAAATAAATATAATATATTATAACGTTTCTAGCCTTAAGTCTTCTACAATAAAAAATCCATTAATAAAATTGTTACTTATATTTAACATGCATCACCTCCAAAAAAAAATAATAAAAAAAAATTAAGTAATGACATTACAATTGATAATATGAAATAATTTTGAGAGAATATCAAAAAACTGGGGAAAGTATATCAAGTATAATAACAAGAATTAAAAATTTGTATTATGGGGTATGTATGATACATATATTATCAAAAATTTATAAGAAAATATTTGGAAGAAATAGTTAAATAACAATGTTTAGTATACCAACAAATCAAATAAATTGGGAGGGGAGTGGGGAAGGGAGGGGACAAACTAGCAATACAGTATAGTTTTTTTTTCGTAATTATACCCTTGACTTCGACTAAGAAAGGTATAATTTACACTATAATTGTGCTAGTAGTTATCCATAATAGTTCTTTTTCGTAATTATAAATAAATTACACTATATATGGCTAATTGAGAGGGGTCAACCTAAAAATAGCATATAGCTTTTTTTCGTAGTTATACCCTTGACTTAGATCTATAATAAAGGTATAACTTACACTATATAAATTGGAATAATATAATAATAATAAGCA